ACACAGTTTCAGTTTTACAGACTTTATAAAGATGTTGAAGACCTGAGCTTTTTGCATCTCTTGTTTTGACTTTAAATGACCCCAGAAATGATTGTCTAAATTTTCACCACAATGTATCTAATTATATATAGTTTTCAGAGAACACAATTAAACATATTTAGCTGTATTTGGGATATTTATTGCAGTTAAATGCATGATTTATTATTTATTATTTTAGTTCGTTTATCTATAAAGAGAATAATTAAAAAAATCCCAAAATTGAGCTATAGTCCACAACAGGTTTCTGTTCTTGAATATGCAGTTTGTTATTCTGATGATAATAATATGCTTATTGTATATTTCCCTGAATAGCAACGGTACTCGTTTTCAAATAATAATCGATGAAACAAACAATATGAAGCAGCAGGCTGAAGATTTCTATTTGCATCCCACTGAGCATTGTTTTCCAGTATGAAAGAAGATGCTTCAGAGATGGCTCTGTTCCTTTTATAGTATCACACTCACATCATTTGCGTGACACAGCAAAACACAAAAAAGAGCAAAAGAATCACAGAAAAGATGACAAATTAAAGGAAAACCTGAATTTTGCAGGCATGGCTTGGGGTTACTTGTCTCTGTACACATTTGATACTTTTGGAATCTGCAAGGTTGCAGTGACTGCTTTGATTATCAGGGAGAGTCCTTGCAGATGTTCACATATGCCTCCAGTATACCTTTTTCAGAGACATTAATAGTGTATTAAACCTCCACTCAGGGGATGCTGGGTCCTTGTCATGGCTCACTGAGACGCTTAATGGAACTGAACCATAGATAACACACTTGTGCTTTCCATACGGCACAAACTAAAAAACATCTGTAGTAGTTGGTTTGTTGTAATACTGCTACTGCACAAACTGTGCATTCTTCCTTCAAGCAGAAGAGAAAGTAAAATAATAAGAGCAGCTACTTGTTCATGGTTTCTGCAGCTGCCATGCACAAGTCTGTAAGGGAGTATATTTCAGGTCTAAGAGGGGATAGAAATCAGTGTTCCGAGTCATCATAATTATTCCATGATGGAGCATTTCTCACTGATTTTTTCCTTTAATTTGTAGCTGAAATTGTTTTTTTTTTGGGGGGGTTTTTTTTTTGCCTTTCACAGTCTTTGATTAAATGTGACTTTGATACATTCCCTGAAGGCATCTGATCACATACAGTTGGCTATGGGCTATTTGGTTATATTGCAGTGAAATACCACAATGGCACGCTACTGAGAAGTTGTTCATGAAATGAAGATGGGTAAAATCCTTTTATAGAGAAAAATAACACCATCGCAGGTGTGTGCAGTCAGTGTAATTGCATCCTCAAAAAAACAATTCACCCTTTCAGACAGGAAACCAGTAAACCACAGTCTCTGGAAAACCAGATTCTATTTGGTTAGCATAATTTTTCAGCTTGTACAAAGATGCTGAAAAAAGCCAGCCAGTGCATTTTCCAGATCAAGGTTCACCCATGTGTTTCCCTTGTCAGCTGCTCACTTCAGAACTGTTTTGCTAGAAAGAAAAAAATGGGCGTTTTCACTTCATGAACGTTTGGACCCCTTGGATTTTTTCTGTTCCTCTTTTTCCTTTTCTTGCTTTTTCTTCTCTCTCTTTTTTTCCTCCTTGGCTTCCTTGTACTTCCAGACAGGAGGTTCCAGGTAACCCTTTTGCCTTTTGTTCTTTTTCTCCTTCTTTGGAGTGCGCTCCCCAGATTTTGTAACTTCAATTTTGGGAATGCAGCCTGAGGGGAAGATGCTATTTCTGTGTGCCATGCTGCGGGGGATGAAACTTTTCATGCCACCTGTTGGTGAGCTTTGCCTGCGCTCTGAGTCTTGGCAGCAAGAGGTCAGTGATACAGAGGTGGCCGACACAGGTGAAGCTGAAGTGATGGAGCCATTACTGTGAGACACCATGCTCTCCTCCAGTTCCTTGCTGCTGTGCTTGTCAAGCAGTTCCGGTACAGCAAATCGTCGCTTGCCAATCTCTGGGGGGCTGGTGGGACAGAGTGGACGGCAACCAGTAGCTATCAAGGGGCTGTGGATGCTTGTAGTCATCCGCACCATGTGGTCCATGACCCCATTGTCTTGGGGGTCATGTGGGAAGCTGAAACTAAGACTGTCTTTTAAGCGCTGCCTCAGCTTCTGACCTGCTGTTTTGGCTGCAGTGGCCTTTGCCACCAGTAGCTTTAGCTCAGGCCACTCAGGAATGTAGCTTTCACAGAACTGTTCTGCAATAGGACGAGTTTGCAGGCGACGCAGTCTGTTCAGAGTCTCAAACCTTCCTGTCCTAAGAACCCAGTCCTTTAGACCTTTCCCCTGGACGAGGTCGACTGCATTGATATCTGCACCTGCACACCGAGGAGAGAAAACAGTAGAAATGTTGAGTGGGAGGAAATCAACTGCCGTCAACTCAGCGTAACAACACCACCATGTGGTGATTTTTGGAGCACAGGTTATTAGGTAGATGGCAAGCACCAGTATGGTGAGATGGGACAAAAATAGCTGGGAATACTTTTTTTTAACTGCATTATTTTTTTATTTTTAAGTTTTACACCTTTTCATATTATATTACAGTAATTAAGTAATAGAAAAACAACGAAATAACAAAAACCTCTGGTGTTTTTCTGCTATTTACACATTTGTTTTTTACAATATAAACCCAAAGAGTCATGCTGAGAGATTTCTTTATTTACTACAGCAACATTTCTTTATGTTGCTAAACGTCTTTACACTGACAGAGGGTATACTATAAAAGTAAACAATAAATAAAACTGAAGTAACTGAGGTGATCTGGCCCACCTGAGATCAAACTGGCTGTATGTGGCCCACAGTGTAAGATGAGTTTGACATCCCAGGTTTAACCCATTTCTGGCTGAAGACGCTTAGTCATGTCTACTCAGGAGACTTTGGAAGTCTACTTGGCAAATAATCAAGGCTTTAACTGACCAAATATACACACAGATATTTTTGTTGCACACTATGAACACAGATGGATTATAGATTAATGTCTGACATCATTAAACTTTAAATAGAACGTGGACTGAATTATTACAGAGCTTTCTTAAATGTGTCCCTGCACAGTTCATACAGGACTAATCTCTGTAGTCCAGAAAAAAAAACAGATTAGTTGACAGATCGGATGTCCGGCTTTGCCCTCTATATTACATATATAGGACATTAATAGATTTGTTATACCTATAAGAGTTTAATTGCAATCACACCAAACCAAATCCTCTACATCTGAGGTGTACATCCTGACTCTCCATGTGGGCTTGACATTCGGTCACAGGTGAGGGACATTGTTAGAAGATTTGATGTAGAAAGACATCTAGACGTACCATGCATTAGCAATGCGGAGACACACTCTTCTCTGCCTTGTAGGCCTGCCTTGATGAGAGCTGTGAACCCACGGGGGTCCCTGATCTCAGTGTCCACACAAGGGTAGTAGTTAAGGATATAGTTCAGGATGGTGATGAAGCCTGGATTGAAAAGATTATGTTATGTTAATATTCTATGATCAGCTTAGGAATTGATGTTGAAGTCATCTGATGTCTTCAGATGTACCTGCTTGGGCTGCAATCATGACAGCAGTGTTGCCATCATTGTCTTGGTGGTTGATGTCTATTAATGGGCATGTGTGAAGCAAGGCGACGATGTCCACAAAACCCTTGGACACAGCCAGCATCAGCCCATTCTGAGGGGAAGAAGATATAAATAAATAGGCCTATTATAGATGCTGAGGTTACCTTTCTTCATTAATTGATTTAAAAAAAGAAGAAGAAAAAAGTCATTGTCATAGTACCTGTGTGGAAAAAATGAGAAGTGACATTTATCTCACCCTGCCATTGATGTCTAGCTCCATGACCTCATCTTTTGTGACTCCTCTCTCCATGATGCTGCGCAGGGATGCAGTGTCATTCTTGGAACAGGCCTCGTACAATGTTTTAGCCGGCTCTGTTGATTTTCCGTCCCTTTCATAGATGGGAAGCACGGAGTCGTCTGAAAGCACACTACCCGAGTCAGAGTCATCCAGGAGGATCTCTGAGTCGTCAGATGGGCCACTGCCCAGGTGTGGGTCGTCATTTGCAGCAGCCATTGGAACCCCCGCTGACTCTGGTCACACCTGGGTGTCAGGCCTGCAGCAGAGATCCCTTATCTTAAACAGAAAAATGTAAATGTTGTTATCATACACACGAAATGAACACAGTTCACACAATTATTTTCCGTAGCCACATATATAGGTTAAGATTGAGCAGACAGGTGTTTGTTGTTGTAGTTAAAGGGAGACAACGGTTTTCAAAAAAAACAATGCATAATCTACGAGCAGCTTACAGTTCATTTGCAGTAACGTTACCTTCGACAGATGTGCGAAACACTGAAAGCGCTTTTCCGGGTGTACACACATTATGTATGCACACAAAACTGCGTGCACATAGTTTGAAATGTGCCGATGTCTATAATTCATTTTTCCTTTGCAAAAGCCAAATCCCAACAAGTGCTGCTGTCTCATTCCAGTCTCGTTTTGGAAGGTGTAAGACCTCTTCCCCTCCTTAGACCAGTTCACGTGTGATTGTGAGACGAGCAACACAGACTGGCAGCTTTTAAAGTTAGCATTTTAAATAGATCTGGTGACCTGAAAAGGCCTTGTTTAAAAGGCATGAGGCCTAAAGAGGATGAAGAGCTTTACCTCAGCCCTCCTGTCAAAGTAAGTCTCTGATTTACAACATAGGTAACCTCCCTGTGTAACATGCTTTGCTGCCAGTTGATTTTTCACTGGCACCACACAACAGAGAAAGACAGTAAATACTTATCACCTTGAAAGCAGTCTCATAATTTAAATATATTTAAGACAAGTGAAACGTAAATAATGTGAAGGCACAAATCTACACATAAATAACAGCAACTATAAAACAAGAAATCCTGCAGAGCCGAGGTCGCTCAGTCTGCACAGTGAAGTGAAAGAAGGCATAGGGACACTCAACTGGGATGAAAAAGGCCATATGGTACTGGAAGCAATGGGAGGCCAGTCTAGTGACAGCATGTGTCATGGTGTCTTAACACTGTTATACTGCGCTTCCATACATCAGCACACTGGCATATCCTGCAGTGTAAAGTTTGTATCTAATGTGTAAATATACTTTCAAGCCACTGAAGACACTATTTCTCAAGACTCAGAAATATGATAGTGTCAGCTAGTTCTAATTCTCTATATTTTAAAGACTGGAAATGACAGACGAGCTGGCTGTGGTCCTGCATGCACCACAAAACTCACCCATTTTTTCAGCAAATTAGTTTTGCACCTATTGTCAGTCACAGTAATTAGAAGTTATTCCAATTAGTTATCTTTTTAATAAGCTCTTGTTAACGTCCATAAATCCCTTAATCCCACGAGCAAATGCTTGTATTTCAGCACTCTGTCATGCACAGTTCCCACACAAGTCTTTTCTCTTCCTCATTCTGCACAAACATAAAATGCCCTGACTTTAGTGTTGATGTGTAGGCCACTGTGGCCTCCACTTCCTGTTGAGCAACACCTTGCAATCTGGCCAGACATCTTACTCTGAATTCTAAATGTCAGCTGTCTTTTTTGCCTTTTAACGGTGGAATAAAGATGATTAAAAAGGGAATGTTCATAAAAACTAAAGCAAAAACAACACATGTCAGAACAAATATTACTAAAAATAACAACACAGCTCTCACCTGAAAGCAGTTCAGCCATGAGTTAGTCCTCTTCTTTTTTTTCTCCTCTGGTTTCTTACTTCCTCTTGACAGTTAAACCATCCTGGACTTCCACGCTTCTCGCTGGCGCTTAGCAGAACCTGGTTAAGGCTAAGTTTCCCAAAACTGACTGCAGCTCCAGATTTTCCCCTCCCTCCATTTCTACTAGTGCCCAGTAAGGTTGCCTCATCAGCCAGGTCCCAACATAGACTCTGCTGTCCTAAGTCAGCCAACGTGCTCTCTTCCTCTCATCCTGATTACAGAAGATTTAAGGATTAAGAGAAGGAAACAGACAGCGGCCAAACTTGCTCCCCTTACAGTCTTTTGAGTTGGTCTGCTTCTCTTTCTTCTCTCTTTTACTTCTCTCAGATCTCTCAGCTGCCCATCTGCAGCTTTCTGCTGCCCGTCTGTTGTGTCAGGGCAAACCCCTCAAACTGTCCAAAAAAAGTCCTGTGACTGAATCATAGAAGCTGTTGCTCCCAAATCTGCTCTCTGCTGCTGAGGACCCCCTGCCTGAATAATTCCAGTGAGTCTGCCTAATGCAAGGCAGAGTCTCGGGTCTGTTTTGGAATGGAAATCCATCTGCTTGGACAACAAACTAACATTTATGGGGGAAAAACAATGGCACACAAGATGAAGTTATTGTGCATTGGCACAGACACTGTGGGAGTGAGTGTAAGCACCTGGTTTGAAAATGCTCAGTCCTTAATTATGAGGCATGAACAGTTAATACATTTTGTTCAGGAGGAAGTGCTTGCATAAGTTATATTTCATTATCCACAAACTTCATCTGTAGGTATTTAATTATCATATTAACATGATTATTTAAGCAAGTCTGATATTGAATCCAATATTATAATGGAAATAAATTAGGTAAACTTTTTAGCATTGTTGGTTTAGTAATGTCCCGTTTGAACCGTGACCACAGCCTTTCTGCTCACAGTGTCGAATCTCATATGTGGACGGGAATATCCTGTTAACAGGTGTATTCACAGCATCAGTGTTACAGTTACGTGGGTCCAAATGTGCATGTAAACAGATTAACCCTTGTATTAAATTAGAGTAGGGCCAAGCCTTCACTTCAAGCATATGATTGTTGGCCTGTGTTATGTGACAGCACCTCTTGTTCAGAGGGGTTGCTGACTGCCCTCTTCTGATGAAACCTGGAAATGGACAGCCTGGACATGAGTACAGTTTGTGTGGTGGCATTCAACAAGATAAAAAATAACATGGTTCCTCACTGTAGGCCTTAGCTACTACACTTCCAAATGAAATCTACAAACTTTTAACAAGGCATGCAGACAATTTAGGCTTAATTTAAACAAATTATAATCACTAAATGCTCCTGCATTATTAAAGATCAACATTATTTCAAGTAGCAGATATCATTGCAGAGCCCAGTCATAACTGAGTAAAGCTGTTATAATAAAGGTTGGACATTCATTCAAAAGCTGCTTGATCCTGAGAATTATAGATGGTTATCTGCTTTCAAGAGTTAACAAACAAGCATGTTGATAACAGCCAGCTGAAGCTGACACACCTCCAACATCATAATCCCAAGAAATCCCATCAAATGTCCCACTGACAAGCCCTTATCCGAAGACACCTCTTTGGCTTTAAAGCATCAGATTGGACCTATAGTGTCACAGTAACCTTAACCGTCACTGAAAAGGTTCTATGTTTAGACACAAGACCCTGAGGTAGGTCTGATATGAAACACAGGAAGAGTAGAAAAGGGCATGCCTGTGGGGGGAAGATTATAGCTTCTGGGAGCAAAGCAGAAATAAAATTGACAGGAAATAATACAGAGGAAAAGGAAGTCTGTTTGGCATGACAGGGTGGGGTAGTGATTGAGGGTGTACTTTGGATGTTTTCCGTTTTTCTTTAAGATCTACAAAAAAAGGCCAATCAAGTTTACCAGATGAGGGCAGCATAGCACATTTAGCAACCTCTAAGTCATTTTCTCAAAGAAAATCAGTTGTGAATGAGATTTAGAAGTTTAAGTACATTTTGTTCTGATTCCCACCTCTTGATAGTACTCAGACTTTCCTTTTAGGGTCGGGGTTATTTTCTTTCTATTCTGCAAATTCCTGACAGAGTCATTTACTCATCACTGTGAAAGGCAGCCCAACCTCTCCCCAGACACCACATTACCCAGCACAAATCAGCGGTGGAGCAAAAGAAAGAGGCTTGGGACAAAGTGGACTAAGTTTAGCCAGCTTAGTGACTGATTCTAACAACAGCAATGTGCTTAGCTAATATTAGACTGTTGGCAGTCAGTGCAGGACCGTGCATCTGCTATATTAATTCCATTTATCTGCTAAAGACAGAACCACCTCTAATGCTATTTGCCTTAAAGCACGTACAATCCTCCAGCATCCAGGAAATAGTTAAACATATTTTAAACATATATTTAGATCATGTTATTACAAATGGGAAGATAAGGTGTGGTGGAGTTGCTTTAATTGATGAGTAAGTAAATACATTTTGCATTGACAGAGAGGATTTGTTCAGGGATGTGGGATTCAGACAAGAAATGAAGCTTCATATGGACAGCATCATGGTTGGGAAAAATTAAGGAAATAGGGCAAAATAAAATTATGAAAATATTCCCCCTATATATATATATATATATATAAAGATCTTTTAATGAAATAAAAAGAACAAATATATGTTTGATGGACACATCTGGGTGTAATATGCTTGTTATTTAGATGCCTTTGGATGTGATGGTATAATTTCTTACTTACGTGATATAGATAAGCATCGCATCCATGTGATAGGGCGATACGTGGGGTACACTCTGGACAGTTGAGAAGTCAGTTGCGAGACTAACTCAGAGAGACAGACCACCATTTACACTCATATTCACTATAGAATACCAGTTTATGAAAATGCTAAAAAATGGTTATTAGAGTCTGTTATTAAATAAAAAGTCATTGCCAGGCAACTGTGGCTT